ATTCCAGGTGACATTAAAGCTCTTAAAGTGGCCAGTGAGGCATAGTAGACCTGGGGTGGAGGAGAGTGTGATGGTACAAACAGCCCCAGAGCTCCAGCATAACAAAATGCCCTTTTCTTGAGATACATTAAAGCTTCAGAATGGTGCCACTCCATACATGGCCAGGATGGTGATCTCACCAAAGGGAAAGCAAGTAAAGACAATAAAATGCAGGTGAAGGAGTGATGGGAGGTATCACAAATATCTGTAGGCCTCACTTTTTAATTATGTGACTGCCATGGCTGTAAGTTTGAGGACTGCCACAAACCCATTTTTAGTGTCACTATCTTTGAATAGGTATTAAGTGGGAACTACTTATATATAAAAACATTTTTGCAAAACAAAACCAAGAACAAAAATCTAGTCTGGAAATGAGAAACAGAGGTAGATATTCAATTTTAAATAGCTATTTCATCTTGCACCCAAGCCTAGAGTTACTTTTAAAGATACAATTTTGATAAATAAGTAGTTGAGATTATGTGGCAAGTGCTGGGTGAAATAGCAGTATGAGTAGTGGTCTGTCTCTTTCCCTTCCTACTGGCCTTTTTTTAGATGTCTGCCATTTTGGAAGAATGCTGAAGAACTACGGGACAATGCAATCCAAAGCATTCCACAATTAGAGAGGAAGGTCATTTCTGTAAGCAGTTTGGATTGGTGATACCAAACTTTCTCCATTCAAGTAAAGGGCCAATTTAGGGAATCTGATTCAAGAAATTTAGGGGTATGTAAAATATTATGTCACGGAAGAGTCTGCCCCCCCAAAATATACTTCTTTACCCCATCTATAATTAAACTATTTATACCCCAATCTGCCGCTCTTGGCTAAAATTTAGTTTAGTTCCTATAATATTATTGTTAACTGCAAAAGGCAGCTGTGCATCAATGGTGGTTGTATATTACAAAAATGGTACCCATATTCTATGTTATTTCAGCTTGCAGGCTTTTTCTAGACTTAGAAAAGGTTAAAGAAGATATCGGACAAGGGACAGAGGATATTAAGTTTCAGAATGACTTGAGCCAAGCTGTTTATCAGCCACTCCAGAAGACATACAGACTCATATACCCAGCTGGACTTGGAAATAAATGTCTTCTTCAAATTACTAATCTAATAAACTAACCATTACATGGCTCGAATATTATATGAATGAACATTTTATCTGTATCTGGATTTAAGAAAATAGATTCTTAAAGTCTCTGGAGTATTGCTCTGGTGTTAGAACTGACATTTAAAAAAAAAACTCTGTCTCACAATGAAGCAGTAAAGTATTCCATAGAGTTGTATAATGAGGCTGTGTAATAGGGCTGGGATGATCTTCATGGGGATGCTTTATTTGGCAAAATTTCAAGCAAATGAGCCCAGAAGCCAGTTTCTGGAGCAAAATGACCACCTTACTTTTAAAAGCAAAGCAAAATGGTTATTCTCTGCTGCAACCTCCTCAGGCCTTATCACTGCCATAAGAGATAAGGATTTTGTTAACTTTGCATCCTGAAGAACTTGCCGAGGTGAACCAAAGCCATTTCCCACAATCTACTAATCTAGGACGATAATAATAATTTTTAGGGCTCTTTTAAGAATTTAACCAGTTAATAAAAACAATGCTAACTAATATTAATTAGTACCCCTTTTGAGGAGGTTTTAGAGAATGGTTTATCAAAGAAAATGCAGAATAGTTCTAAGAAATATGAAAACTTGCAATTATATAAGTACGACCTAACAGGGAATTTCTTATTTGGATCTTTTTTCTTCAAAGTCAGCATAGCTATTATGCCTAAAAACTACACACCTTTGGAGTACATATTTGATATACAACTCTATAATGTTTCACAAAAACTGTTCAGTCATAAAAATGTGGATTATCTACCTGGCAGAATCCTTATCAAATAAAATATGATAGAATCCTTATAAATACAATGGTTATAAATTAAATACTGAATGTATACAGGCCAATTTTTATTATTCCATCAAAAAACATGAAACAAGTCAGAATGAGGCTGTGGAAACTCAACACTACTGATCTTTGATAGCTGACGCCACCGTAATAGAAAGCCAGCTTCACGCTACTCTCATGCCAATTATTCCTTTACTTATTTCTATGAAGATAAAACTGCTTTCATGTGTATAGAGAAATATTTGAAAAAAATCTGCACATAAGGACTTTCTTCTAATGAGAGTAAAACTCCATTTTCACACATTGAGAGACAGAAAAATCTTAGCTTGCTGACAAGGATCTAACAGAAAAAATATTTTTAATGAATCTTAAATATACTGCTTCGTTCCATTTAGCACATGCAAATATATGTCCATGTGACATCAGATTGATATTCAATAGCTGACTAGAAGCAATATGGAGCTTTTCATTTCGTTATCCTTTTTTTTCTTCTATCTATTTTTGCATTCATTATATTTTGTACTTGAGCTTCACCACATGACTTTTCATAAAATGAACAATTAAATAAAACCATAGATGAGTGGTTGAATTGGCTTTGAAGATAAAAACTAAATTTAAAACCGTTAAGAAAACTATCAGAATTAATTTATATGAGAGGATGAAATAAAAAATTACTGATAATATAGTATTGAAAAGATACAGAAGTACTAAGACAGTAACAGCAGCAGCAGCAGTACTGACAATGAGGGCAGTAAAACAAGAGATGATAGTTGTGAGTCTGTACTGTTTTTACAATTAATCCCATTTCCTTTTGGCATGCCACAGAATGAAAATTATTTTTATCAGGTAGTAACTACTCCAACCGCACAATTTTTAAAATGTGGTGTTTTTTTAAAAAAAAATGATGATCTATATTTCTTAACAATTTCTGTCTGAAAAAACTATGAGTGTTTATTAACAAAATGTGAAGCTATGTCTCTGCTTCGGTAACTTGGCACCGAAAAAAATTCTAGGACGTGTGAGAATATTGCCTTTAATAAAGCTAGTGTAGAGAAAAATCTGTTGACCAAAGCTAGCATCTATTATTTTCTTCTAACTTAAAGAAATTAAACATCACTGCCTTATCAGGAAGATTATTATTTTTCAGCTTCAAATGAATTACATGGTCCTAAAGTCATAATAACCCTAAGGACAAAGGCAAAATATACTGGAAGTAGCATATACTGGTAACAGTTTAACTAGGTGGCATTAATTGGATGACCTCTAAAGGAGATGGAGGGAGGTTATGGAAGAAAAAGGTTGGGATTACAATCTATATTAACTCTGTTTTTTAAACAATCACTTAACATGCTGTGGTGATCCACCAATAATGCCTTGCATTACCATATGTACCATATTTTTTGGAGTACAAGACACACCTTTTTTCCTCAAAAAAGAGGCTGAAAATCTGGGTGGATCTTATACATCAAATATAGCATTTTTTGCCTCCCGAAGCCCCACCCCTTCACAAAAATGGTCGTGTGTAGCCTTAGGGAGGCTTTCAGAGACCTCCTGGGGGCTGGGGAGAGCAGAAATGAGCAAAAATGGGACATTTCTGCTCCCCCCAGCCCCCAGAAGCACCCTATAAGCCTCCAAAAGGCTATGCACACAATTTTTTTGACAAAAAAAGGTCTGTTTTTGTGAAAAACGGGCCATTCTTTGCTCATTTTTGGCCTCCCCAAACCCCCCAAGAGCACTCTGTAAGCCCCCCCCCCAGGCTATTATTCCTTTTATTTGGAAAAAAAAACGGCCCCATTTTCATGAAAAATGGACCTTTTGGGGGAGGTTTGTAGAGTGCAAAAAAGTTTTTTTTTTTCCTTTCGGAAAGCTCTTTAGTTAGAGTGATTGATGAGAATTACATTGATCAAGTGCTGCGCCAAGCAAGTCTTAGCTCTGCAGATTGTCAGTGATTTCCTTCTCCAGCACATGGATAAATACACCTGGAAACATCTACCTACTTACCTACCCACTCTCTCTCTCTCTCTCTCCCTACCTACCTACTGTATTTCTCTTTCTCTCTCTATTCCTCTATCTACCTACTTACTCTTTCTCCCTACCTACCTATTGTATTTCTCTCTCTCTCCACCTACCTACCTTCTCTCTCTCTCTCCCTACCTATTGTATTTCTCTCTCTCTACCTACCTACCTACCTGCTCTCTCCTTATTTACCTATTGTATTTCTCCCTCTCTCTCCATCTACCTACCTACCTTCTCTCTCTCTACCTACCTACTGTATTTCTCTCTCTCTCTCTCTCTCTCCCTCTACCTACCTACCTATTTTTAAAAATTTTAAAAATCTTGGTGCATCTTATACTCTGAAAAATACGGTATATAAAATATAAACTAAAATTAACAGTTTTATGAATTACTATGCTTTGAGAATCAAGGTGAAGTAGATTCTAAAATAACTAATATTTTAAAATATTTTAAATAGTGCTTGTCTGAATTAGTAAATAGAATTGAGTAGGAAAGGACTTTAAAAAATTACAAATTGTTGCAAAATTTATCAAACTTCCATAAGCCTCTCAAGAAATCATTGCAATATAGAACAGCTAGTTGGTCACATCTCATATATACACAAATACACTAGGAAAATAACAATGGATGAACTTGAACAATTTAACGATCATTCTTTCAGAAAATCAGTTTGTTATATGCAAGTGATATAAAGGCAGGATTCTGTTGAATAATAATTTAAAACATCCCGGATATATCACTAACCAAAAAGTAAAACATAAAAGAATACTCCAGGTTTTCTGCTTCATATTTCCAAAAAAAAGCTCTGGTTGCTCACTGTTTTAGCAGAGGTGAAGTAGAAAGCTGATTTTGGATTGTATCTAAATCAACACTCTATAAAGCACAAATTTGGGAGAACACAGCAAACTATGCATAATGAAAATAGAAACAAAATGATTTAGATGGCGTTTAGTTTTTTAATTCCTTCAATATTATTTTTAATAATATTTTTAAAAACTGGCAGCTGCAAGAATTTCAAAATGTGTATGTTTCTTTCATTGTGGTATGCTCTCTTACCTTCCTTTCCTTTAAATCTTTCCTGATCATATCTGTTATAGGCAGCTGGAATAGGTTGCTTGTTTCTTAAAGTTGGATCCTGAAAATAAAGGAAAAGGGGATTTTGGATCAGTTACATTTGTTTTCAAACATTTTATATTTGTGGCTCAATAGTATAGATAACAGATAAAATATTTAACATATAGATACCTTCAAAGAAAGTTAACTTTCAATCTTATTTACTATGTAAATATCACACTAACAAGGGCCATAAGTCTCCTCGTTCAATGTCTTTGTAATTTGGATTGCTGAATAAGTGGTCACTAACTGAAGTCTCTCTCTCTCTCTCTCTCTCTCTCTCTCTCCACACACATACACACACACACACACTCTTCAGCAGAAGAATTTCTAATTAAACATAATTGAATTTAGGTGTGCAAATTATATATAAACTTTGAAGAATGTAGATGCCCATTGTAATGACTCAATACATTTCAGGTCCTACATCCTTAGGAAAAGCATTTAGTTTAAAATATCATGTATGCAGTATTTATTTCCAAGTAAAGTGATTATTTCTATTGACTTAATTTGTATAAAAAATACCAAAGTCAGTTGCTATGACAAAACACATAGTAAAGTGCTAAATAATGTGTATAGTTTACAATTAAGTACACCTACATAGGCTTTTTTTTCTTTGACAAAAGAAAAATGAAGGCAAAAAAAAAGGAAGAAAGAATTATTCCCATTTTTATTTTTTCTTTAAAAAGTAAGATTTTATTTTCTACTGCAGTATTACCATTGGGGCGGTATTTGGTGCTGGTCGTTGCTCAGGTGCACGGCCTTCTTCTCTAGCTTTGACTGACTGAAGAATTGCAAATATATTCTTGGCAAAGTTCTAAAATATGGAAATAAATGATAAATGAATAAAACACTGTTATCTTTGTTTTACATCATTTCAGAAACCACCAGTTACATAAGAGTGTTGTAAACTATAAAATGAATACTCTTAATAAATTAGAATATAGCTGTAAGACTTAACATAATTAAACATGCAACTGATATAGAAAATAAAACTGTATTCATATGTGTATTTCATGGATAAAATGCAAGATGCTAAGTTTCATTCCTGGGTTTACTATTATACTGGGGAAAGTAGAATAATTTCACAAATCCCATGGCTCAAGTGGAGCACAATTTTCAGAGCAGACATATGTCAGCTACTTAAAATACACTGAATATATTCTTAAACTGAACCTAATCTTCCCACTTTAGATCCTAAATTCTATATGTTAATAGTTATGGTTAAAATATAGGTATGACGCAAGCCAATAAACTAGTGAGACAAAGATCATCAATACAGAATATAAACACACACATACAGACACACACACACACATCTAAATTTCTAGCCATCCATCCATCTTTCTATCTTCTGTATTGATGATCCCTGTCTCACTGGTCCATTGGCTTATGTACAATTGTGTACTTCTCTGTTGTTATACCTACCTACACACACACACATACACACACGTAAGGTGGTGAAATAATTTTAAATGTAGCTGAGAGTGAGGATGTTCTATTTTTAGCAAATATAAGAAATGCCTTTCTGTTGAATTCATCCAATGGTTTTTAACCTTCTCTACACCACGGACCCCCCTTTAAATACCTTCTTGGGCTATGGGCCACCAAGACTTAAGATTTGTGATAGTATTATGGCCCCCAGGGGTCCCAGACCACAGGTTGAGAATTGACTAGACTGTATTTCTTATATTTACTGAAATTAGAATATCCCCAGCTACCTTTAAAAAGGAAGATATGACAGTGGGAAAAAGTCCTCTTCTGCATACATGTCATAATTTCAACAAGGTTAAGACTGTTCGATTTGGGTCTTTTTTTTCTTTTGAACAGAGTAGAACCTACTGTCAATCATTTAAAGAGTGTAACAAGATAAAGTAGATTATCAATATGCAGTTCCATATTATGAAATTAGTTTATAAACTAAGTATAATGCTTAGTTTAAAAATAGATATTCTATTCTTTTTTCCAAAATAAGAAAAAGGGTCCCAACTCACTCTCTCTCTCTCTCTCTCTCCATACATACATACATACACACACGTACATACATACATGTAAAAGGCAAGAAAAAAGTAAACCTTGAGAGCAAGTTAAAAACATGTAACTTTTAGAGTGAGGGAAAAAAGTTATTTTAATTACGCTGAAAGAGAAGCTGAATAAGTGAAATGCATTATTCCTTTTAAGAGAAGCTTAAAAATGACAAATTAGCATTTTATAAAAGGCACATATTTAACCAATTTGCATCAAATCTCAATATGCACCACTTCTTGAATGGCATATGTACACAACAGATGTCCTCCATTACTGTTAATTCTAAGTAATAATGAATGTATTCAGCAGCTGAGCTCCATAAAAACATTTGTAATATACTAAACGGCTCTATCTTATTCATTATCATTATGAAAACATTAAAAGCATAACAAGTAGATGCATACTATGAGTTTATATAAACATTGGGGGATCTCGTGTTTGGGAATCTTGACTACTTAGCATTTGGATTGCTTGTACTACTTTATATCTTAACTTTCAATTTTCCTCTTCTTCAAAGTTAGGTAAACAGAAGTAAATTAATTATAGTCTGCTGTGAACATATATGTAAGATTAAATGATTGATAAATTTTCATGAGAATTTTTTTGATAACAGTATTATGAAAAATAGAACTAATTTGTAATGTCAAAATGTAAAGTTGCTTGCTATGCCAAAAAGTTATTTCAACTTCTCAAAAAAGTAAACAAGAATCGCATACTGAATCATTTACTTCAAACCATGAAGTAATTTCCAGTAGTTGGAATTAATAGCAGTGGCAGAGGAATGAGTAAGCACTGAATTATAAAGCTTACTGTAATACAAAAGCTGTGTTTCATTAAACAGATTCCAAAGTAACAAGATACCATATTTGAAAACTCTCTGGGCTAATACAACTGCTAACTGCATTTTTCAAACAAAGAACCATCCTAAGACAACCCTTACTTTTCAGAAGCAATTTTTTTTCTTCTAATTTAATTACATTTAAACTAATTTAGTGGCCCCAATATTAACTGCATAAAGGACTAACTATTCTAAGCAAATAAACTTGCTCAAAAGGCTGCTCCGACTTCAATCTAAATGTTGTTAATATACTGAACCATTTATAATTCATTTATTTGTTTGTTAAAGGTTAATGTCAAACTGACTAAAAAAAAGTAGATAAAATGTATCCAGGAAACCATACAAAACTTTAAAAAATAAATGTTATCATGGCTCATCCACCATTCTGTCCCAAGGACTTGGAGAACAGCCAGGTTTCCAATGCCTTTCTGAACATCATCAGGAAGGGAGCAATATGAAACTCTGAAGACAATGTTGCTCCAGAGAATTAATGCTAGGGTCTATAATTGTTTCTCTTCCTGAAATTTAAACATTAGCGATTAGAGATGAACAATATTTTATAGAACTGAAGTTTTCAAAATGCCTTCTCAAAAAGTGGGATGGAAACTCCTGGTTGCTAGGAAAGGGCAGAAATCATGGAAAAACTAGCCAGTGTAATTCTTACAACCGGGACATATTACATTGAATTCATTCCCCAAGCAAACCCTTCATTCTCATAATCTAAAGGGCCTTTTAAAGTTTCAGAAACAGCTTGTAAAATATTCTAGGTATCTGTGAGGAAGGGATAAAGGGAAAAAAATAAGCAAATTTCTTTCTGTGATATTTAACATTTTGGTATTCAAAATATGAATGCTTCAAGAGTCTTTTGTCAGTGCATGCTGTGCTTTCTAGTTGCAAAAAATGATTTCTTGGCCACTCCTGGAAATCACAGTATGACATGAGCTTCTAAATGACAACAGAGAGGCCAGCTTTAATGTGAATCATTTCCACTGGGTTTTTTTTACTTTCTCACATAATCTACTCTTTGAAATGCCTTCCTACTTTCAAGATATGTATGTTATTGTCACCAAAGGAAAAACAGAAACTTCATGCTCATAGTACATCAAATATAACTCTTTTGATTCCAGCTATCCCTTGCAAAGTAACAACCAAACTGAACTTTTACTTCAGCGATGACAATGATGCATTTCACAAGTTACATAAAATCAAATCTCTGTAATTTTTAATTAAGGATTTTGATTACAATAGTAAAAACCAATATAAAATAAACTTTAAAAAAGCAAAGAAAATAGACTGAAAGAATAAAAAGTGGAAGCAAAAAAGAAAGAAGAAAATAAATATATAAAGAAACTAAAGGAAAAGGGGAGGTTAAGAGACAGTGTAAGTATCATAAATGTGAAATAAAAAAAAGGAATTAATTCCATCAGCACTGTACTTAAAACAATCAGGAAGACCCTGCACAGAAATTAATGCTCATATCCTTCTCATTTACTGTATACAATTAAGACTTGTTTTTAGTAACAACAAAACTTTAAATTTATCTGGCCAAAAGTGAAGCTAGCTGAAAGTAATGGGGAAAATTTCTAGTAAATGTTCTTAAAGCCAGAAGCTTATTTTAGAGCCACTTGAGTTCAAGTGATGGATTGAAAATATAATAATGGATTCCTTGAATTTCTAGTTGTTGTTAGATAATTAATTCTTTTCACAGATGGCAATGAAAGTGGTAATTAAAAATATCTTCCATTCAAAAAAAAAGCTTGGATGCTCATTCCTTTCTATGAAGAGCAATTTAAAACATATTTAAATAGTATTAATTTATGTAAAATTTGTTAAGCAGTAATCAGAAATACAAAAGCATAGTACAGCTGCTAGAAGAGCTCTGATTTTCAAACATTTAAGTTTTGTAGTTTGATAGTATGCATATTTATTCAAATGAATTTTGAGAATTAAATCTATGTACCTAAAACACAACCATTTTGAAAAGTAGACTAGAGCATATTTTTGTTTATTAGTCTGTTTTTGTAATATAATTTTTTTTCATCAACAGGGTAATATAAATCCTTCTAACTGACTTTGCAGAAGTAGACTCTAGGACCTTTCCTCTCTATAGCAGACTCTCCTATCTGAAAAGTATTACTGCACAACCCTGAAATATTGAGAAGTCTAATCACAATCCCAGTGAACAACCATCGGCTTCCATCAGGGTGCTTTCACTGTTTCAGAAATGAACTCATATTTATAGTTCAAATGACTGAAAGACAGCGACACAGATCTAAACACGTGATAAAGGGGCAAGAAAGACAAGAAAACTTTAATTCATTGCTGCCATCTAGTAGTTGACTGGATTTTTGCAGTTCAAATCTGATAGCTCTATTGAATGGTAAAAAATGATTTAGATGAATTATTTTAAACTCCCTTTTTACAAAATTCTAATGTAAAACGTGTAAAGCTTAAACACATACAGAAACTTGCAATATGAATGAGTTGGCAGCAGGAACAGACTTAGTATTTTAAAACCTTGGAATTACAATAATCACATATATTGCTGGTTAAAAATCTTCACAAATATGTAACAAGGCTACCATCTAGTGGTCTGACAGAAAATAAATGTAAAAAAAAAAATCAAGCAGATAACAGAATACAAAACAACTCTTACAAGCAATGCACTTCTCCAAGTGTAGCCTTGAATCAGGGTTACAGGAAACACAAAGCACTTATCCAAGTGTATCTTACATAAACCACGATTGATGATCAAGCAATGTTGTACGAACCAAGGAACGAACGTTGACTCCTGCTACTAGGGCGTGGCAGCATCTGTCCTTTTATCTCCAAACCTGCCCCTAACAAGCCCCAGCTGCATAATGAACCTTGTATCCCAAAAAGACTCACAGCAGACATCTGCTGAGTCACAACAGCTTAGTATTAAAAAAATTCAAATAGGATTTCAGGATAGGTAGTAGGTAATAGGTAGACAATCTTGCAGCTGGATGTGAGATATAGTAACATCACAATGGGAAATGGGGAGTTTGACAAATTTATTTTTGAAAAATCAGCATTTTAAACTTGGTGACTAAATAATAAAATCTAACAAGGACCACCCTGTATTTAAAGTGTCACTAATATAAATACTGCGGATTGCATGTGTGAAGTTTCTTTATTAAAAAATCTCAAGTTATAACGAAAAGTTACTAGCATATTCCCAAATTAATAACATTATAACAGATAGCATAAATGGATTTTATTAATTTTCATTCACAAGGCAATGATACATGTCTTTAAACACGATGCAAATTTAATCTAGGATAATCCAAAAATAAACCACATGTACTGTTTATCACCCATCAAAATATGAAAAATACAATTCCAAATCCTAGACAGTTTATATTATACATGCAATTTAATAATATATCAAATTAGATTCTGAATATTTTCATCCAGTTTTGTAATCTAGAGCTATAGCATTTCTCAAAGTCGAGCTTTCTTAGTTTCATTACACATTATTTTGCATAAATTTTCTCTTCTACATTAACATGCATTGTGTTCTTCTTAAACAGTGAGGAAAGAGCATCTGCTTGATATCAGATTAAAAAAAATATAATAAATCAATATTACCTTGCCTGTGCTCTGCAAGATGGTAGTTCTTGTCCTCCATACCCTTTCCCTGCTGACAATATCTCTAGTAACATCAACTTCTGCATCAACAAAACTTCTCTGTTTAAGAGCAGTTATATCGTCATCTAAATCAGTCTTAATTGTGGCCCTTTTCTTGGCCATAATTTTGGCCTTGATAGCTGCGATTTTTTCCACAGACATGGCTTCAGATAAGGATCTAGAAAAAAATGATTAGAAACTGGAACAGTTAGAAATTGGCTTTGGCTGTTCAATCATGCTAATAAACAAAATACTTCTTGGTAAACTGTTAATCACCAAGTTTTATAATAGAATTTCAATTCTATCAGTAGGCAGTTCCAAAGATAAATCTGCAAAAGAGCTGTCTTTGCTCCAGAGATCATCCTTTATAAATAAAATCTTATAAATAAAATACTTTTATTCATGAGTATTGTGAAGAAATTGTATTGTACTGTATTGTAAATAAGTATTGTGAAGAAAACATAACTAAGAAAATGAAATAGAAGGGTATTTTATGATTGTTATCTCAATTCCATCATTAAGTCTAAAGATGTAAATATTCAGCATCCCATTCCTGCTGTTGCTCAGTGAGAACAAAAGTGGAAACCAGAAATTTCGTGATTGTTTTCAAGTGATGCAAAAGGCCTGGTTTAGCTAATATTTTTATAATAATGAGAAAATATTCTAATATTAGGTAAAACAATTTCAACAGACATTGAATAGTATTCTCCTACACTTAGAAATTTTTTTTTGAACATAGTCAATATCTGTCTTCATTCAGTTTCCTAAGGACTGTAATTACTTTGGGGCTGTTTAACCAGGATTTGAAATAATAGTTTAAACCACTGGCAAATTGAAATTTGTAAAATATATGGTTCATTCCTTCTACTTTATTCAACTAGATTCACGCTGCTCAGCCAATATCAAAAACGTCAGGCTACTCTTTTAAATGAAAAATACCTTTTTATCAGGACATCTGTTAGCGGTATTTATAATTGCATATTCTAAAATGATATAAATTATCATTTTAAAAGTTATTTTTGATATTTACCATGTTTTTAATCCCAAGATATGCTGAATTTTAAGAACTTGTCATTTTTGCAAGGACAAATTTGAGAAAAATCTAGTAGCTATACTATTGTTAAGGTACCGTATTTTTCACACTATAAGACACACTCCCCCCCACCCAAAAGTGGGTAGAAATGTCTGCATGTCTTATACAGTGAATATTGCGACGGGGAGGGGAGGGGGATTGGTGCAACGGCAGCATTCGCTGGCGCCACCTGTCACCGCTGCTGTGTTCGCCACCATCAGGGAACACTGGAACCTTCCCTGCCAAACCTCGCCGCCTAGAAACAGCTGATCGGCAGTATTCTGGGAAGCCGATCCAACCGCCGATCAGCTGCTTGGCAGCGAAGGCTCCAGTCTTCCCCGGCGGCAGCAGCAGCTCAGTTCATCTGTGGTGGGTGCAACAGAGTGGAGCCCTGAGGAGCCACGTGCTGGCGCTGCGATAACGTGCTGAACCTGACCAGGCTGTTTGCTGCAAGGACACTAGCCAGATGAATACCCAATGGATGCTGGGAGGCAGAGGCAGATTTCTTTTTCTTGTTTTCCTCCTCTAAAGCTAATGTGTGTCTTATGGTCCGCTGCGTCTTATAGTGTGAAAAATACAGTAATTCTTAAATTAAATTAATCTTAAAGTACAAACAAATCAAAACCTGCCTGATCTGCTCAGTCTGCACAATGCCTTCCTTGTGTCCTTCCAGCCGAGCTGCCAACCGTTCTTTGTCAAGCCGCACACACTCTTCATCCTTATAAAGAGAATATTACTCATAAGATTTTCTTTATTTTTTTACTAGAATAACTAAGAGTCGACAAACATGTAACTGGAACATTGAAATTAATGACTATCCACAGGATGGTCTTCCTACTTACTTTTTAATAGCCAGTTTATATGAACTATTTACAAATAAAAATCAAGTTAAATTTCAATTGTTCAATCTACCCAGAAAAAGTTCAGAAAGCCTCTTACAAAATATTGATCTCACACTGTGCAATTGAACCGGGTAGGAATTACAGTACTGGCAGTACTAGTTCGGTGGCTCTAATCATTTTTCATTGATCAACAGAGCTAATCTATCCACACTGGTGTCAAACTGAAGAGAGAAAGAAAAAAAAATAAACACTGCATTACAGAAGAATTCAATGAAACTAATTCTAGTCCTTTAATCAAACAGTGAATTTCAAGTATTGCTATTTACAGTTCTTAAGTTGTAGTTCAAAAGGGATGAGTTGCCTTCATATTTACATACAGTAATTACATACATATCCTACAGAAGATAATAATGGAAGAAAAAAGATCTGAACAGTTTTAAAACCATTGAACAAGCTTCATCTTATTCCATAAAAACCTTGCATGAAACCAATTTACCTCTATTCTTGGTTTCTTAGCTTCTGCTAATATTTCATCAGCTGCCCTTTTAACTGCAAGAAAAATAGAAAATAATAAGCATTAGAGAGAAGCTTTTTTAAAAATTCCACTAATAAAATATTTAATTATTAAATTAAACTGTACCTTGAGTAGATCGTTGGAGACCTATTTCCAATGGTGCACTTCTATCTATACTTGATGATGTTGCTAAAAAATTATAAGTACAGGAAAAATGAATAAATGTTTTAGAATGTTCAAAATTAAAACCAACAGGTGAATAGAAAAAAAGGAAGCAGTACCGTAACCAGGCTATATTAAAATATTAGAACATGAATTCCCTACATGATAAGGAAGGTTGCCTATTTGTCTAGGGAAGCATCCCTTACTATCCAAGTTAATTGTAGCACAATGTTCATGCTTGATGTTTCCAACAATTCATGTTTGATGTTTCCAACACCTAGCAGAATATCTCCATTAGGCTTTTCCAAATACTGAACAAGGCTGAAGGTACTATGAGATTATTTCGATGACAGAGAACTGGATTTAAGCAAGTGTTTCCCAACCTTTTTTGGGCCATGCCACAGCTAAATATTTTTTTAAATCCTGATGCTCCCCTGTGACATATAATTCTTATTTTGCTCAAAAAGTGAACTCCACTCACGTGGAGGAAACCTAAGAGGCCATTAACTGGGTTTAAATAAAATTCAAATTCCCCCCATTAAAAATCAAATTGCACCGTGGAGAGCCTGGGCCCCACATTGGGAACCACTGCTTTAAGCATTTTTCTAATATCAGCAGAACTGTCTTGGTACCCACCTACCAGGCTCCATTTCCATTTCATAGTTAAAATAAATAAATAAATAAAAAGAACGGGGAATCTAGCACATTACAGAGAATGTGTCCACATTAAATATAATTGTTAGTTACCAAAAGAAATATTTCTGAGTGCCACATAGTTCCTGCTGTTATTTTTTAGAACTACAATAATAGGAAATAATAAGAAACTGCAATCTAATGTTCTGTCTGGAAATGTCCCCACTAAAATGATAAGAGGGCATCCTGGGAAGTCAAGGGAAGACAAGGGGAAAGAGCCAATGTGGAGTAATGGTCAAGGTATTTGACTAATAACAGTGTGACCAGAGTTCTGATCTACCACGAGTCACAGAAACTTCCTCAGTGCCTTTGAGGGAGTCATTTTCTCTTAGCTCAACCTACCTAGAGGACTCTTTTTATGATGAAAACAAGAGGAAACACTACAGGTGCCACCTTGTTTTTGTACAAAATGTGGGATATAAATCAATCTCATTCATTTATCTCCTAGTAAATGTGCCTATTTGACCTGATAGTGCCAATGAAAGCTGTACATTGGAAACTCCTGAGTAAAAACTGTTTCTAATACTTGATTAACCAAAACATATCTATAGCAAGAAATTAAATAGTTTTTCTCATCAAGCACCTCTAATATGCGATGCTGGCTGGGGATGGATAAGAGGGAAATAAAATTTCCTTTTCTTTTTTCCCCTGAACATTTATATTTTATTACTGGCTTTTTCATACTGAATGTTTCCAGTAGTTTCTTCTTTGGGTTTTAAATCAGGCCCTCAGAAACATTCAGTGAAAGAGAAAAGAACTATTCAGAACTTGTTTTTCTTTTTTTAACACCAGTTAGTTATATATTTGACACCAGATTCAAATAGTCTTATCTAATCAAGTAAAACACTTGATTTGGTATTTTAATTTCTGACAAAGGGACTAAAATTATTCTGCCTTTTAATATAAGACAAAATGTTTCATTACTCATGAGCTCATGGTCATATTTTTTCGGAAGAATACTAAAATAATAAGCAGTTATGTTTCTGACTCACATGTTTCTCCATTAAGATATGCAAGGAGATCTTTTCTGTCAGGTCTTCTTACTACAGGAATGTTTTCAGTCTGAAAGGAATAAACAATTGGCTTAATTCAGTAATGTAAAAGTCCCAAAATTGGTATTTTACTATGAACCCACTTAACATACTTAAATCCTAGCTAGACTTTCAAAGCTAATATAACAAAGCAAAAATACAATGCTCAAGACATATTAGTAAAATACATTTAAATTATCATATTTTGTCAGCAGAACAAGCTGAATGTAATCACATTCATCAAACAATTTGCAGACACTAGTGTTTCTGTATTGTTTAGGTAAACATTACAAAATTTCATTTTAAAATATATTCAAAGGATACTAGACCAAAGAAGTAATTCACAAATTTCTTCTCCCTGCCTCCCACTCCCATCTAAGGTTCGTAGATGAACTTAAAATCACCTGCAGTCATGGCTTGAACTAGGTTACCATATGGTGGAGCTGCTATTCAACTGTGGCAGAAAAATACAGTAGTTTCAACAAATCTGTGAGAACCTTGCAGATCCCTGTGCTGAGGTAGTTGCTGAACAGCCTCTTTCAAGTGCAATTTGCGTGTTAAACTTGTGCATGCTGGCAGAAACTTGTGGTGATTGCCCATTTCTGAGCATTATAGTGAACAAAGGCTTGTGGGGTGCTGCTTATCGAAGCAGCGGCAGCTATTTTATGAAAAAATCTACTAATAAAAATCAGATTGGTCCCCGCCATCTTGGTCTTCCTAAAAGCAGACTTATTTCAGAGGGCCTACAGTAAGTGACAAGATGGCTAGTTTGATTGTTTTTATGATCTTAAAACAAAACACAATTCAGTTCTTACCATGAACATTTCTTGTGCTGCTTGTAATGACTATACAAGATTTATTTAAATATTGTTTTTTTAGAGTGTTCAGTACAATTATTTTAAGAAAGTTTAAATACCAAATATTCATTTAAATTAGAGAGTGAGTGTTCTTTACATGGAAAAATGTTGCCATTTTTTAAACTTATTTGAAATATTTTTGTCACTTTTTATTCTTTTGTGTTATTGCCCCCCCTTCTTTTAAGTTTAATGTTTGTTATGAAATATAATAAAGGTAATTGTAAAAAAAGTTGAAACAATCTGTTTTATTTCTTTTTTGGTTTTGATTGAGCTTTAATGGTAGTTAATATAATGCTGACAAGTCATCTTGGGCAGGAGTATTTATTGAGCAGTATATATTTCCAAAGCTGGTTCAAATCTTTTATATGTAATTAAAATAAATTTGAAGATTATTTATAAACCTAAAGATGTACTAAAATGTGCAATATAGTTTCAATTACATTTTTGTATGCTTTTAAATAACCGCATGTGACAGGTAGCGGCCTCTCTGGTCAGAAGATTGAGTTACGGTTATTACTGTACTCCTGCTTTAAAGTCTTTTCCAGAAGAATTTAAAAAAAAATAACTGAAACAATTTCTAAACATATAATCATAAAATCGTTTGATACAAATTGCTTCAATAAAAAGAATGTATTGTAAGGCCATGATTTGTGATAGTTCAATTCCTTAGCACAGAAATTCGTATTCAGATACTTAATGAATAACTGGGGAAATGGAAAACACCATTAGAAAAAAAGTCAAGCTCTCAAGAAATGTACTTACTGCCGCACGACGGACATAAACAGGATGTGAAAGATGTACATTATTCAACAGGAACAAAATTGAATCCAACGTATAGTACTCCCTTGGCTGGCCTTCTTTTCCTGTCCTGTAGAGAAGAAAATGAAAATTGGTTTAGAAAACTGAAATAAAAGGAACAGATGCCATCTAAGTTTCTGACCATAAAAACAAGAAATATGAACTAATAAATAACTATCCCTACCAGTCAATATTTGGTTTTTTCCGTGGAAAAATGGAAGGAGAATTATCCTTACGATTTCACTCGAAGGATAAGTATATTTTCTTGCAATTTCTCTTTTTTCAACAAACTCAAGAACTTTTATTCCATGAGACAAGGGCCTTAGGAATTCCTCCTCTTTATTGGATAAAATGGCTAATTACAGTTCAAATATCTGGGGGTTTGCAAACCTCCAATTTGGGAGCCAAAACTGGCTTTCTTAAAGAAAGGTAAGCTAGTGTCCACTTTAAATAGCAATAAAATCTAAATCAGATTTCAATTATTATTAAATGACTTTTCCTCCTACCTTGCGGTTCTAGGCAGCTCAGAATTACTATTTTTGTAGCAAGCCTCGATTGTTACTATGTTGCATACAGAATACTTACATTATCATATTGCTAGTATCCTGCTGCATTAAAATATTATTCCCAATTGGATTTGAAAAATGTCCCTGAAAAATAGCTTCAAAAAATTGCTTATCACTTATACAGCTAAGTAATAAAACAGATTAAATACAATTAATTAATATAACGAGACCAGGTCTCTATAAATATTCACTATATCTGTGCCTTGATGAGACAAATCTCCACAGTTGTCTAGAAAGTTAAAAAACCTATTGGTCAAATGAATTTGATTGGTAATCAGGATATTAGATATGGATTATGAATAAAAATCTATCGTCTTTTTGGACATAATGATTCAGGGAAGTCCTCTATAGAATTATATACTACAGTATTTGATATGTGACAATTGATCCACCACACAAAACTCCTAATCAAAGTGATATTATTAGCCCTTCTTAAGAGCAAAAGTACATAGTATAAAAATCTTATAAATCTTGACATACAAGTTACATTCAGAAGCGTTTTTAGCACTGTATAGTGTACAAGGATGAAATAGATTAAAGTGGACACTTTTTGTTATGTATTTTTTTCTGTATTACTAGCTCTTCTACACTTTCTCCCCAAAGAGATAATGATAGCAAGGATTCTAGAGGTATAAATACACTTTAGACAGGGATAAAAATGTGGAGGAAATATTTCGAGGAAAATTTACAGGTAATGGAAGTATTAAGCATCTCCTTACTTTTCTACTAGCTTTTTTTATATATAGTTATCTACTAGAAAATGTTGACCTGCATAATAACCTATGCACTGAGTGAATCTAAGCTGCATAAAATATTATTCTAAGAGTTAAAAATACTGAAAATGAGTTCATTGAGTAACATAAACTATTGTAGTAGTGAATGTTATGTGGTTGCAGTAAGGTTAATTAATTTACTTTTTTTGTTCTTTACAGCCTAGTCAATTTTACAAATTCAAAGTAAACAAATTTGCCATGATTCAACAAAACTACATTAATAATAAAAAGAAAGTTGTATGCATAATTAATATTTTCTATGACATTTTCCAATATTGTGTGTTGATTAACTTTTCAGATTAACTTTTCAAATATCAACAGAAAATTGTTGGCACTGTGCATCCAGAGCATCCAGTGAAACTTTTAATGCAAATTGGTTCTCTGCAGAATATACAGAGGATTTAAAGAAATCAGATTTTTTTAAAAAAACTTACATATATGCTCTTCTTAAAAACATTAATTTAAATATAATTAATAAATTTACTTTTGTTACATTAACTTAGTTGACATTTGCTAAAACAAAATAAAAAAGTAAATTGTATGAAAGGGTATCAGCACTATTCTATTATTCTGTAGTTGTATTCTGAAACACTGGATTTTTAAATCATTTCAGAATCAATACAATGAAAATAAAGAATTATGAGTTACCAAAAATATGTAAAGTAACCAATTGTTTCTGCTCAGTCAACAGCACGGGTGTCAAACTCGCGGCATCACACTGCCATCATGTGACGTTTTGCTATGTTTTTTTTTCCTTCACGGATCTGGGGTGGGTGCAGCCTGTGAATGATGCATCCTGCCCACGGGCAGCCAGTTTGACACCCCTGGTCTACCTTAGTCCTCTTTCATTGACCATTCAAAGTTATAACAGCACTGAATGAGTAAGCTTGACTGGTCCTCATAGTTACAGCTGCTGCAGTGTCCGTGCAATCATATGATTGTGATTTGGATGTTTGGCAGCTGGCTGACATTAATGACAGTTGAAGCATCCAGTGGGTCACATGATTGCCATTTGGAACCTTCACTGCCAGCTTCTGTCAAGCGAAGTCAATTAGGAAGGCAGAAGAAATTTGCAAATGGCAATCATATGACAATCATGCCTTACAACTGTGCAGGATTTGCCTAGCAATGGCAATTAGAACTTTTGCAAAGAGTCAAAAATCAGTGAAAATATATGATGTTATACTTTATAGCCAAGTCACTTAGTAATGGAGCTGTGAGTCCCAATCACCATTGTTGATTGAGAAGTATCTTTAGAGCAGGCAACCCATGTTCCTGGTCCATTAAACAATGCCATCTTGCTGGATCTAGGAGTTGTGCATTCTCTCTGATCCTTTCCGTCCCATGGAAAAGCATTTGTCTGGCAATCCAGACGGCTTCAATCCTATTCATCTTTTGCAAGGCATTTGGCCCAGGCAGTTAGGTAAGCTCGGCTATTAACATGGTATTTTTGACTGGGAAATTGGTTTCTTTTTTAAAAAAGAAAATCTTGGGTATCATGGGCTGTGTCCAGATACTATAATTACTGTTTTAATCCCTGCACAACACTCAGAATCACTATTGTGTGATTGGCAGCCCTGTGGATATTTAAATAAAGAAGCAAGGAGGAAAGTCTTCTCTGGGGTCCTAAGCAAAACAGGGATCAACTGGATTTTTGTTCAGAGAAAACATTGAATACATTTACAGCAATCATCAGGAGAAAGGGATATAAGGCTTTTTCAAAGTTAATTTCAAAGTTAAGACAAAGCAGAAAATTATCTCAATTCATTCTGGATACAGTCTAACCTGTTTTCTATCAGCTTCAAAAATAATAGTATTTCAAGGGTTGTTTTTGTGTGTGGATTGAAAAAAATAACATTTTTGCCTTGGGTGCGCTGAGTTTGGATTTTGAGTGTTATATTACATTTATAATTTTGCCCATAGTTGGGTGATGGTCTGGCTCAATAAATTATAGATATCTGAAAGATTTGGTACTACCAAATAAGCTTTTGAACTCCACTAACATTCTTAATTATTATTGTGAGTTTTGATTCAGTAAGCACATTTAAAAAATGAACAAGTTCATTTTCGAAGAAAAATTTAAAAAATGTGAAAATCATATTAAATTTAAAGAGAATTTTTAAAACTCCATTTAGATTATTAAAATCATTTTAAAAAACTTTATCTTTTACCCCCACTGGTGGATGAACTAATTAATTTTAAGAGGAACCTGGAACATGACATTGTCCAGTCTGAATTTCACAAGGACCATGGAGCACTTGGTCTCTGGGGCAATTTAGGTTTAAAGGAAACAGCAGAAAAGAATCTTTATTTCTTACTGCCATGTGTTCTTTACTCATTTACTGTATATTTTTCAGAAAAAGACATATATTACACAAGATGAAATTAAAAGACATATTACATTGGACAGTTTTTAAAATCAAGTCTTACTTTACTAAATCAGTTCTTCACTCACAGCTATTTATTTGTTTACTTAGTTTCCCTTTGTTTTCATTTGGGGAAAGCCTAGGCCAAGAAAGGAAAAACACTGGAAAAGAAATCAAGTGATATTATCTAGAATATCTATTTCTTTACTCATATTCAAGTCACAATCATATGTCAATATTTTAAGAACACAATAGATTAAAAATATAAGCTATTTATAAAGGTTTTTTCGCATGAAGCATCAATTCATAATTTATTAAATTGAACTAATTGAAATAACATGTTAACACTAAACCATCATTTATGAACAGCAATACTAAAGCTAAGCCATTTTTTTTTATTTTAGGGGAAGGGAGAGAGAATATAAGGTGATGGAGACTTACAAATACTGATTATAAAAATCAAATAATCATGTGATTGATTTATGATTAGCATCAGATTCCTCAGATTATAATTTGCAGCATCAATAGGAAAAGTGGTTGAAGTCATTCTATTTTGAGATTTATATATGAAAAAATAGGTCTAAAATACTTCAGTCTTCAGCCAAATTTTATATGGCAAATCCATTTCTACATGGAATCCACACCAACTCTAATCTCGACTCTTCACTAGCACAGAAATAAATTCAACAAACTTTTCCTTTATCTATGGCTTTAGCATACATTAATGACTGCTTAACTATTTATAGGAGGGGAAAGCCAAGGTTTAACTATAAATTTTTAATCTATAAAAGTTTTATTTGTCCTCAGAATTATTAGCAAGATTGTCTATAAACATCGGAATGTACATTCAATTAAAACAGAGCAACTTCTGCTGAAAAGTTACTTTCTGGGTTACATCAATAACATTGGATCACTTCAAGATTAACTTCAAGAAAAAGCTTGTGGTTTTGTTTTTGTTTTTCTATTTTCACATTTAATTGTTTTAAAAAACGCAGATTTTTTAAAATAATATAATTACATTTGCAAATATAAGTACAAGTAAATGTATACTTGAATGTGTCAACATTTTATTGGCTTAACTTAATTTCTTCTAAATTTACCATGACTTAAATTATATTCATTTGAAATGGCTCAAATTCAGTTAAATATTTAATTAAGCACAAGCAAAGAATTTCTCTTCAAAATAGCTGCATATTTAGGAAGGTTTACAGCTTCAAAGACTGTCCCTGGTTATCTGAGTGTTTATGTCCATGTGTAGCTTACTCTTCACTGGCAGTTCCAGCAGAAATGCTGTCTACGCATAGGCAACTGGAACAATGTTTGAAACTGCCATATAAGTAAAGTCCACAGTCTCCCATGAGCTGTGCTTATTCTAATAAAAATATTTTTACTGGATGTTCTCAAGGTTAACATTATCTGACATATCCTACCAAGTTATTTGACAGAGAAATAGAAAAAAAAATAATTAAAGTGAGTCTTGGAATGCAAACTCAAGAAAAATACTACATAAAAGAAAAAATGTTTGAGAAAGAGTACTGAGCATTTAAGAATCTTTTAATCTTGTCTTTTAATTAATCTAATATCAATCAATGCCGTGAAAAATATAACAGGTTACAAAGATAAATTCAGAAAGGGAAGGTATTTGAGAATACAGAAAAAAAGATAGTGCCTGCTCCTTGCAGTCAAGTAAATCACAAATATGTATACTAGTATGGAGATCCCTGGATTATCCTATATAAAGTGAAGTCTTTATAAAGTTTTAAGGCTTTACCATGAATTATTGAAAAATTCTTGTCTGTAGGTTCCTGACTCTTTCTGGATACCTTTGTGTGACTCCTTTGGATTTAAAGAGTTGGATCTGTATTTTTAGGCTTTTTCAACTTTGGGATTCATAATTTTATAATTAGCTACTTATAATGTTCTACTTTCAACATTAAAACACAAAACTAATTGAAGGTATAATAGAAGCAAGATATTAAATTCCCAGAGCTTACTGAAAGCAAACAAATCATGAAACAGATGCATGTAAACGTTTGTAAAGCACTCAAATATACAACTGCTGTCCTTTTAAGAAAAATATGTAATAGGTTCTAAAGATCACCTATTTTAGAACGACTAGATTTTTTAAAAAAAAAGATGGACATTTCCAGAAATCACAACCCTGCTGAAATACATCAATGAAAAATGTTGTTAAATGTTCTAAAAAGAAAAAAAAGGCTAATACCTTGCTCTTATATTCTATTGCAGAGTCTTGGTTGACTATCATCAAGAGAGACAGATAACCTTTAACTGAATCTATCAAACCTTTACGAATTGTCCCTAATGTTCAAAGTATGAAAACAAACAGTAATGTCAAGTTTACTGGTAAATGACCTTCCCAATAATAGCCAACAAAAAAAGTTTTATTAAACCAAAGTGTTGGTTTCTTTCTACAAACAGTGAAGTTCTTAACAGCCAGATAGCACAGGTCCTTATAAAATGAATGTAACATTCAGATCACCTCAATTGTTTCTTATCCAGATCACATCTGAAAAGTTGTATCAACAACAAAATAAATAAATAAATGGTGGTTTGTATTCCACTGTACGGTCTGCTCTTTCAAAGGTTCCATAAAAGTATCTGGGGGCTTTAAAAGAAATAGACACCAGTTGCTGTTGCTTCTTTCCCAGACCCTCATCCATATTTTCAAGGGGGTGGTAGGGAAGGGACAGCCATTCCTATCGCAATGCACACAAGGAAACCTACAAGAACCCCCATTTACCCACTGGGCCAAGCAACGTGTTTTTTTTTTCAAGCTCTGAACTTTTGCCTCTTTTACGTTCTGCTACAAAACTCCCAGATAATCAAGAATACAAAAAAATTCTGCCCCAAGTTGACTAGATTGACTTCGAAATTATGTTTTTTTCAAGCTCTGAACTTTTGCCTCTTTTACATTCTGCTACAAAACTCCCAGATAACCAAGAATACTATCTATCATCTATCTATCTCTCTAGCATCTCTCTCTCTCTCTCTCTATCATCTATCTATCTATCTATCTATCTATCTATCTATCTATCTATCTATCTATCTATCTATC